TTTGAGGGATAACTGAATAAGGTATTTCTAACAAACTGTGACAGATGAAAGCAAAATATAGCCTTGGGTTTGCAATTTTGCAGCAGTGACAGCAACACTACCAACAATGGCGCTAAACCCTTACTTCTCAAGTAGCAGAGTTAAAATAGAGGATGGGATATGTCTAATGGACAGGTTTCTATGGATACCAGGTTAGATTTAAAGACACTTGAAGAGAAGTTAAAAGGAAAAACCCTGGGGCTTTGGATGCTGTCTGTCACTGGTACCAAACAAGCCTTAATTAGATGTATTGGTCACAGGAAATGTTCCACTGGATTTGTTTCAGCTTCATATGGGAAAGCAAAAACAGATTTAAATCTCATTCATGAAAAAAAACCTTTACTCAGTCATGTTAAATAATACTACTACTTGATCAATGTAGACTTCATTATACACTGAACAAACAAAACAAAAAACAGGAAAACACTATTTTTCCGATTTATTAATTGAGATCTACACAAAAAAATGGGTTTCTCTATTAAACTTAACTTCTTTGCTTTTAATTACTATAAATACTCTATAATGTTCAATCTACTTTATTAAATTATGTTGGGCAAATGTGATCCAATTATCAACATAATTTTTGTTATAGACTTTACTGAAACTGCAGTTCACTGCATGCTTTGTATAGGACTTAATGGGTAGAGTAAACTGTTGAAATGAAAAATCATTTTATGTGTCTTTAAGCAAGATGAGAATGAGAATGGGGAGACTTCTTGCAATCTTATAATTCAGTGAACAAAACGTATGAAACTGAATCAATTGATCCTGTCAGAAACATTTGGTGAATTTGGTGAAGTTATGTTTGTGTAACTTGATTCATGTGGAACCAATGTACATAACTACAGTGAACTTGTAACTGATATTATGAAGTAAAACAGTTTCCACTCAAAAGTAGAAACCAATGTTTACAGTCTGAATACACACTGAAAAAAAAGGGTTTGCACTCATGTTTTTAAGTAAAGTTCACATTAATGGAATTAGGTAAAATCTATTTAACTAAGATATGTAAATTAACAAAGAGAATAAGTAAATTGAACTTGGCCAGTTAGAGTTTGTTGAGTAATTTATACTATACCCATTTAAAGTTTACTTTGGAGTACTCTGTTTCAAGTACGCTTTACTCACTTTTTGTACATTTTACTCAAACAATGTAGCACTGAATTAAGCCATGTTTTAATCGTGTATGGTAAACAACACAGTAGATTTCTTGTTGCACTTTGTAAGACAACATATATAGTGAGGTACCATAACCCCACTGAGGCCTCAGGTACACAATAATGGTTACAATCATAGTTTTTATGAATGGGTTATTTTGAGTAGAAAATGAATTCCAGATGTCACAAAACAGCAGGTTAATAAACTTAACAACAAAAGCAACAATAAAACAGTGTAAATACAACTAGAAAACAGTGAAAAATTCAACATTATTAATTATTCATGACCCAGTGCATGATGAGAACATAAATTTGAGTAGGTTTTACTTAATTTGAAAACTTTGATGCTAACACAAAGAACCATTTGTAAATATAACAAACTATTCCAAGTAAAATATAAGTTCAAGCTTGAGTTGAACTTATATTATATTGAACTTATAATAACATTTTACTTATATTATAATAAGTTGAACTTATATTCTACAAGCTTGAGTTGAGTACTAATATAGAATTTACTCTTTACTCTAAATTCTTGCCTGAACTATCTTATTCAATGTAGAAATTACATTTGTTTGTTTTTTCTGAAGGATTTACTTCACCACAGAATTATTTTTATCAATGCATATGTTTTGCTTGTTCAAATTGCCATTAGTATTACTGAGGAGAATGCAGTACAGTTATGTCTTTTCTTTTTGTTTGTGCATTTAAACTGGAACTGGATCATTTAATTCACTGCAAAGTCTCTGGCTTTGTAGGATTGCAGTTGATTCTTGTTAATGCACTCCGGCTTGTTTGAGGTGAAGCTGTCAAAGCGTAAACAGTGTAATGGTTGTGTAACCTTGCATCACACCCATTAATATTTCATTTGTGGCAGAAAAGAGTCTATCTGTTGAGAGGCTAAGACGTATAGAACTGCGTATCTGGTCTGATGAGGGTCCAAGTAACCTATGAACTTAATATCCTTATTGGGTAACACTTTAGATTACAGCCCGCAAAGTTCTGCGTGAGTAAATCAAATTTACAGCGTAACTTTCGGTAATTATAGTGTACCTATAAAGTACATGTAAGGGATATTGGGGAATAAAGGAGTAACAACCAGGAAAATTAACAAATTATTTATACTGTAAGTATTTTAGAACTAAGGGGTAATTATTCTACTAGTGATAGGCAATAATCTTACGTTTGGGAGCAATTTAGCAAAAACATACACTGTACCTTTTTGTAATAATAATACATATAGCCTAGGCTTTTTTTTTAAAGTTTGGTCTTTCATGTTTCAAGGCAAATAAAACTATTGCAATTTTTTAAATAGCCTCCTTGTTCCATACAGGGTAAGTGGTGCTTGTGACCCTCTTGTTCCATGTAGTTACAGGGTAAGTACAATAAAAAATATATACACACAATCTGACATCACTGACTCTGAAACCTTTATCTGGAAAGCAACTTATTTCAAAACAGATTTACAAAACTTCTTATTCGTTTAAAACTAGTTTTTTTTTGTTTTGTTTTATCAACATTTCATTTCAAATGCTAACACCACACTTGTTTTTAAAAACAAAACTATAAATAATAGTCAAGTCCTGGTAATGATAACTTTGGTGATGTTGTTTATTTTTCACAAGACCTAGATATACAAAAGCAGCCAACTATACAGATGAATTGTCTCTGGTGCATTTGCTCTGCCAGATTAGACTGTACAGAAATCAGAAACGACACGTGCAATTAAATGACGAATTATTAATTTTGAGAATCCAGTGCGTGAGTGTTGTACGTTCATAATTTTTTTGCCACAAAGTCTCCCAAGTGGCCGATTTTCCACGTTTATTGGCACATTAATTATATTGTCAAGTTGTTTATGTACTCCCACAGTCCCCCAGTAGGAGAAGCGAATAACTGTGAGAGTATGATTGAAATGAGAATGTACATTGTGCCGCACCTGTTTGTTTTCTTGGTTGCCAGCCAAGTGCTCCATCCCTGAGAGGCGTGCACTCCAACGCATTTGTAATAATCATAAAAAATAGATTTTTTTTTTTTCATCCACTCAGAGATATAATTGTTGCCGTCGAGCAGGGATTTGACCAATGACCTGCTCTTCTTGAATGAAGAAGTCTGTAATTACATTTAGCTCATTTGCAATTCCATCTGGAAGTTGGGTGCACTTCAGTGTTAATGCTGTCTACCCGACAGTGTCGAGAAGTTTTTTGCAGTCTAACGATTTACTCATTACCCTGTGATATTCACACTAGAGATGGGTTTTAAGAGGCCCATTTTGAAGGCGTAAGAACCAATTGCTGTCGCTATGAAGAGGCAAACCGACTGTGCATCACACTGAATGATCATTTCTGCAACTATGTTGTAGGTTGTCTTCTCAGCATGTGCTGATTAATATTTATGTGAGTGCTTTGTGGTGCTTGATCAAGACGTGTGCTGTAGTCATGGTATGATCAGGACATTTGTTTTAATTAATTCACCACAGGATAAAGAGAGATATTTCGTTGAAATATGCTGTTTTAGTAAACCGATGAATGCTGGCATCAGGTTTTGCGGAGATGCATGAGAGGCGAAGCCATTGATAGCACCTCTACAGGTTCTCTTTGATGTTTAAGCTGTTCTTTTTTCATCTAATTTATAAAGAGCTGCTTGCTGTTGCTGATTTTGTATGCCAAGGCTCAACAATAAGGATGGCCCGCTGGCTCAGGGTCAGTGTGAAAGAGTTTTGAGCTAGTTGAAAAAACATAGTCATTTACCTGTTCAGTTTCCCAAAACCATCGTCTGAAAACTCCAGCATTGCTGGTCAACAGCATACGGTATGTTTTGCACGCTGGGACATTGTTTTGCAATGTACACAAGCTCTTTTTAACTGGTTTTAAATTATTTATGTACAGATCTTTTGAAACAGGAGACAATTCCTTTGAAGCTTTGAAACGTTTTACCAGTTTACCAGTGACATTGATTGATAATGTAATCCTAACTAAAACCATTACACATTTTCAGTTCTACTTTCAGCAGAGGGAGCAAAAAAATTACTAAGTTACAAAATCAATAAATCATGTTTTAACCTTATATTGTTTTCCTTCATATCATTAATGTGTTAAATATAGAAATATCCCAGCAAAAAGAATGCTTGTCCCCAAAACACTGCTTACACTACAGCTCTCATGCTGTGGTAAGAAGCATAGTTTCTTGTTAAAAATGACGTGGACTTTAATAGATTATTTTGGGCACAATTAGCAAGCTATCATTCAATACATTATATGTCTTTCATCCCATTTAAATATATACACGTCAGAAAAATGATGTTGTGGAGAAAGCTGCTGACTCAATTAACCACATTTATACGGGAGTAAAGTGTGCAAATGCTGCATGTTATTGTGATTAGTAAATTAATGGGTTTCTGTTGTTTATGTAAATTAACTATAATAATGTTTCGAATTGATTAATTTGCTAAAGTTGTCACTCTGCCACCTGCATTTGACACAAGACTTTGGTGGTTATCAGTGATTTTTGTCGAATTTGCAAAAATGTCTTGTCACCGCCTTTGAAAAGCTATCATTATTGTTTTGCATCTTATGCTGTCGTTTTCCAGAAAGTGTGTTTATGAATTATTTTTAACTGTATAATTTCCAGCCTGCATTTAGTATCTTTAAATCTTTCAAAACACTAGTTGGGTCAACATACAGTACTTTGAAACGATTAGTACACTTTATAATTGTGTAGTTGATGGAAATGTATCTAGAAGGGGTATTTATGTTATGTGCATTTTTTTCAATGTCCCCTTCTGTCCATGTTGTATCTTCTGTCCAGACATTTCCTTCAGTCTCCTGCTGCTTGTGTTTGCGGTGTGTGGTTTGGCCCTGCTGGGTGTCATCAGCGTCGCCACCTGGAAGCTGTGCTGGGTGCCCTGGCGCAGCAAAGTGCTTTCCTCTAGCGCCACCGCCCTTGCCCCCACCCGGCCAGAGAGAGACCAACACAGAGAAGAAGGTCACGGTGACTACTACCCAGCCCTTGGAGACATTATGGCATCAGACAAGCTGAAGGATCCTGGGAACTTTCTGGAGGCGGGAGTGAAGATTAGTCATACGTCGCCAGATATCCCTGCAGACGTGCAGCTGTCCATGAAGGATCATTTGTTGAGACGTACGCGTATCTCGCGGCAAACAACCGAGCCAGCCTCCTCTAACAGGTCAGTGTTCTGGAAGAATGAAGAAATGTTTGTGTCTGAAGACCTTCATATAGGTCATCACGGTTTACTGTATATACAAAGCCATTATGAGGTTAGTTCCAGTCATTCCTAATCATGTTAATACTTCGAAAATCTTGTAAATGTCAGACACAATTAGACCTGAAGGAGGTCTCTGGGTTTTATTGACTACAAAAAAGGTCAGATGGTGGAAAACCACCGTAACTCCAGAGTACAACCATATTTAGAGGGAACATTGTGGGAACCTTACAGCATATCCAGAATTATCACCATCAATTTGCATTTGATCACAGGTTATAATTCAAATGTAGATTAGCACCTGGTGTGCTTTTTGTGAAAGAACTCATGCATCAGATCAGGATGCCAAATTTTGTCTGATTGTTGCCAGGCATAGTTCCTTCAAGAAGCACCTTCCCAGGCAGATGCACCATGTCACCAGTCTGGACCGCGGAAGTGATTTTTTAGACGTGGAGGACCATCCCATCTGCACCGCTGCCTCTCTTGGACGCATCCAACCCGAACTCTACAAACAGAGCACGGTGGAGGCAGAGGAGTCGTCTAAGTATGGCACTGATAAAACATGCGGCAAGATCAACTTCTCCCTTAAGTATGATTATGAGGGAGAGCTCCTTCTCGTCACCATCCTCAAGGCATTCGACTTACCCGCGAAGGATTTGTGCGGCAGCTCCGATCCTTACGTCAAGATCTACCTGCTCCCCGACCGCAAGCGTAAATTCCAAACTCGCGTGCACCGCAAGACGCTCAACCCCACGTTTGATGAGACCTTTCAGTTTCCGGTCCCATACGAGGAGCTGGGGTCCAGAAAGCTCCACTTGAGTGTATTTGACTTTGACCGCTTCTCACGGCATGATATGATTGGTGAGGTGATCCTGGAAAACCTTTTCGAAGCTTCAGATCTCTCGCGGGAGACATCCATCTGGAAGGACATCCAGTACGCCACTAGTGTAAGACAATTCATCCTCTTTACTTCTTAGTGAGACCAGACCCCGCTGGTGATTTATCACATTAATGTGGCTTATGTCACATTAATGTGACCCTAATGATTTGGTTTTTTAAATATAGGAATACACTTGTATTGAGTATTTCTGAAAACACAAACAGTGATTAATTAGATGATTCATAGACTGTGTCCTATGGGGTGTGATATGGTAATTTGTCGAAATTGTAATTACCAAACATGATAAATTGTGCAATGTACGTATATTAAGAACTAAAAATAACGAGGGCAATAAACAAAAATTAATGCTTTATTATATGGCAATACTGAGTCTGCAATAATCTAAGTTCTGTTATCATTTACTCACCTTCATGTTGTTCCAAAACTGTATTACTTTTTCTTTTGTAGAATATAAAAGTAGATATTTTCAATAATGTCTTAAATGTTTTTGTCCATATAATGAAAGACAATGGGGTCCAAAACAAAATAAGATCCCATTTACTTTCATTGACAAAAAAAACCCACTGAAACATTTTTCTAAATATCCTCTTGTGTCCCTTTTTTCTTTACTATAAACTGATGCATTTATTGCCAACTGCTGTTTTATACAAGGTCAGAACTTTTTTTTTTTTGCATCTGACTAAGGCAGTATATTTAATATATGTAATATATTTAAGGAAAGAGATGCTCAGTGCCCTGAAATTACAAAATAAGGCCTATTTATCATGTGGCTTTTCTAACTTGTACATCATATTAAAGTTGTTTTGGTGCAGGAGGACTCTTACATGTTAGAGAGTGTAGTGTTTTGAGTTTCATGTTTGTATCTCTTCTACTCAGCAGGGTGTTTCTGGCATAGACATTATAGGCAGTCGCCTGAGGTTCTCCAGGGCAAAGCTCTCAGACGCTCTTCTTCTGTATCACTCACCTGCAGCAGTTTGACAGCAATGTGCAGCACGCTTTCAGTTCCACCAAACACTTTCTTTGAAATTAAAGTTTTCAGACAACTTTTCAAAACCTGTCTGGATTCACCAAGGGCACCATTGGAGTCAAAACTGCCACTGCTTCTAGTTACACTTGACAGAGGTTACTGTAGCTATTTACTGCCTCTCCAAATCAAATACATACTAGAGCTGCACGATTAATCGTTAAAAGATCGCGATCTCGATTCAAAAAGTCAAACGCCCCATTCTATTAAACCTTTAACAAAACTACACTAGAACATTAAAATCTGAGTTTGCGCTGCCGCTGACCCAGGGAAAGCAATTATCACATATTGGTACGAAACAGCCTCACAAATAGCACAGTAAGGTTATTTTTCTTACAAATATTCAAATTATCACAAAAGTACTGGGATAAAAGTTTTTAGTTAAGATACTAACATTAACGTCTACGGTAGTAATTAAAATAGATTAAATCATCTTTAAGTCTTTATGAGTGAGTCACTGAATAATATATTCAAACCGATTTTTAAAAAATAATTCATTGAAATTAAATAAACAATTTTAAATAGATTGCAGCAATTAACATTTTTGACTGAACTTGAAGTAAATTACATGTTTGTTTTTGTTAAGTTGTCTGTTCAGAAATGTGGGAGAATTGTGAAACAATTGTGATTCTCAATTTATCCAGAATCATGCAGCTCTAATATAAACTGTACAGTTAATATATAAAAGCTTTTATTCATCAGAGAAAAACAAAAAATGTCACATTTTTGGCCTTGAAAAGATTGGAATCCTGCGATTGGCACAATGATAAGCGCACCATGACTGCACTGATAACTTGTGAGTAAAATATACTGTTAGTCTAAACTGGGAAGGGTCACAGCACTTGCATATTGTTGTCCTATTGTTGGTTTAATTGCTTCTATTGCTCTCCTCATTTGTAAGTCGCTTTGGATAAAAGTGTCTGCTAAATGATATGTAAAATAATGCTAATTATATCACTGATACAGCCACGCAAACTGCAGTTCAACTAACTAGTCTTACTCTGTGACTCGAGACATTGTTGTCAACGAGGTAATGTCATCTCACTATGGTATTGTGTTCAGCTATGACTTTTATAGTGCTGAGATAAGGCATATGCATTCACATGATTGATTATAGTATATGCTAGAGATCACTGAACTCAGTAGATGAGCTGTCAAAAGGCTAAAGCTCTCAAGATGGGTTAAATGTGGGAGAAAGACCTAAGGAGTTGTGTGATCCATACCTTTCATCTGAATGGTCTATCAGATCAATTTATTAATGGCAGTTGGCCCTGGTTACAATCAATTGATCTCTAGATTTTAGGCTTGCTGAAGAGACTTAGTAGTACAGCATATTTATGGAGTAACAACTACATTTAGATGTGGCAGTGCATCCCATAAATTATCATTGTATTTGTCTACAGAATACAGGACTGACTTCCAAACTTCTAAATGAAGATAACCCTGATACATTTGGTTTGAAACATTTTGGTTTGTCACTACCTGAGTGAATTCAGTTGTCTGTTCTGATAGGAATTGTTCCTAATGGTTTTATGTCCCTATCTTTTTCATAAAACCATTCTTATGTGAATTGTGTTCTATTCAATGCATCAGTTTAAGTAAGAATGTTTTTACACAGCATTTTCTCTCATAAAAAATACTATAAAAAAAATGGGGTCTGTAAGATTTTATTAATGTTTTGACAGAAGTCTCTTAAAGGGTAAGTTCACCCAAAAATGAAAATCCTGTCAGTAATTACTCACCCTCATGTTGTTCCAACCCCGTAAGACTTTCGTTCATCTTCGGGACACAGATTAAGATATTTTTGAGTAAATCTGAGAGCTGTCTAACTCCTCCATAGGCTTCTATGTTATTGAAATTTGCCGGCCCAGAAAAGTTAGTAAAAACATTGTTAAAATAGTCCAAGTGACCAGTGGCTCAACCATAAGTTTATCAAGCGACGAGAATACTTTTTGTGCGCAATAAAACAAACAAAAATAATGACTTTATTCAACTACTCATTTTCTTCTGTGTGGGCCTCTGAGTGAGTTCACGAAGTGTAACAGCGCAGCGCTGAATTTTCATTTTTGGGAGAACTAACCCTAATCTTACCAGGTCTTCAGTGTCACGATCCTTGAGAAATCATTCTAATTTGCTGATTTGATGCTCAAGAAACATTTCTTAGTATTATCAATGTGGAAACTGTGATCCATTTTTTCAAGATTATTTGATTAACAGAAAGCTAAAAAACAAAGAACAGAACACCTTTTTAAATACAAGTATTAATTTCTTTCAAAAACAAAAAATCTTACTGACCCCAAACATTTGAATAGTGTACAGAATTGGGATTAAAGGAATTTAAATTTGTCATAATGTACTCACCCTCAGTTCGAAATACTAACATAACTATGAATATTATGATTAGTAACTATACTATGAATAGTAAACAACATAGCTATTTATTTGTAATGATGCCATGGTCTACTGGATTTTGTGTGTCTCCATTTGATTCTGCAGGAGAGCGTGGATCTGGGAGAGATAATGTTCTCTCTCTGCTACTTGCCAACTGCAGGGAGACTCACACTTACGGTCATCAAATGTAGGAACCTCAAAGCCATGGATATTACCGGTTATTCAGGTATGCTGCTGTCTTTTAGGTTTGTGTCTTTATTTTCTTTCATCTGTGTTCTTGGCTCCATCTTTATACACTTGGACACAGTCACATTTATCATTGTCAGCAAGCGAATTACAAGTCCTTTCATCAGACATTTTCAGACCATGAGAAGACAAGGTTGATACGTTGAGAAATTGATGTCACACCTCCCTGCTCTGTTGGCAGATCCGTATGTGAAGGTGTCACTGATCTGTGATGGGAGACGCTTGAAAAAGAAGAAAACTTCCATAAAAAAGAACACGTTGAATCCAACATATAATGAGGCGATAATATTTGACATTCCCCCAGAGAATATGGATCAAGTCAGCTTACACATATCAGTTATGGACTACGATCTGTGAGTGTTATTCAATATCTGATATTTTCTCTGTACAAATATTATGTTGTCTATGTGCTTCACAATATATTCCTTATTCTCCTGGTGTGTAGAGTGGGACATAATGAGATCATTGGAGTCTGTCGTGTAGGGAGCCATGCTGAGGGACTTGGAAGAGATCACTGGAATGAGATGCTCGCTTACCCTCGAAAACCCATTGCTCACTGGCATCCGCTCGTAGAGCCCAAGAAGTCTGAGAAGGAGGTGACTGTCGGTCCTTAAGCGTTTCCAGAGTGGAAAAGAACATTTTCATTTCAATATTTAAATCTCTCCCTCTCTTTCCTTCTGTTTTCCGTCTCTCTTTCAGTGGAAGACTCGCACTGCAAGCTTTGACAGTCAGGGGTCTTGTCCATCTCCCAGACTCCCTTCCAGTCCATAAGTGAGGGACGACTTCTCTCTACGTCTTTAAGCCAAGTATCTCCCAGGGACCGATGGTGAGATTTAAGATATGTCCTTAGGCAACATGTGACACAACTTATGTCTGTGTGGACAAGCAGTTGGAAGAAAGAGGGTGCTGTTCAAAACTTTTCAAAGTGCAACTGAGCATAGCCAATTTTTAGCTTTTTATGTCTCGATGGAAGTGTTGCTCGATGGAAGTGAGGAAGAGGTTGAAAGATATACACTTCAAGATGGATTAAGCTCCCCACAGGAGTAAAAGGGTGTGTTTGTTAATTTATATTGGTAGATGTATATTATATTTTAATTGACATTATAATAGTATGAAGATATAGTTAATTATATATTTAGCCATAATCGTTCTAGTTCTTTTTTGTCTTCTTTGAATATAAAATACAGGTGTTTAGAGATTATGACTGGAGAGATATGTGAAGTCCTCAATATGTTCAACCTATTGAAATGTATTAGCCGAACTGTATATTGTTTACAGAGCAGAGATATTCCATTGATCTTCCTTTTGTTTGTGAAGTAGTGAAACTGTTCTGCCACCAAAAAACGCCAATGCCAAGAATTATTTTTATCCTGTCTACAAATTTCTCTTCCTGTGTAAACTGTAAAGGTTTTGCTTTGTTCTTATTTAAACATTTAGGTTTCTGATGGTTCTATGAGTATTTTGAATAATTTACCATATTTTTCTTCAAACAAGTTCAGCTCAGTTAAATGCAGCCATGCACAGCTTTATCCTGCATCATCCATAATGTACAACTGGCTAAAATCGTCATAATTTCACCATGCAGTAATTGTAGCTTCCAAAGTATAACCATAATGAATAGCAAGGGTTGTGTGTCAGATCCAAAGGACGCAAAAATCCATGGCTTTCTAACAAGACTTGAAATTATATCATTATGTAAATTAGAAGCACTGTTTTACAAAGACCAATTTTGTATTTTACATCAAATGTTCATTGTTCTGTATTTTTCCTGTTACCTTTGAGGTGTTTTCTCTTCAGATAACATGATGTAATTTGTTGACTGGCTTGAATGGAACTCATTGTATCAATAATCACTGGAACTGGCGTTTCTGTATGAAATGCCTAATTCAGAGCCACTTTTCCCCTTTTATATTGAGAATTTGTATAATAGTTACTGTTTCGGAACATCCCCTTGTACTTCAAAGGTGTGATTAAAGATCTTGCTTCTATCTGTTTTGTTCTTCTTTCATTTTTTGTTAAATATTAATATCAGATTAGGGCCAGTTCACACAGAACGTGTGGCAGTGGAATGGGAAAAAACCCAACAAATAAATAAAAAGGCACAGAGTTTTTAGAATGCTGTGTCATGTGCGAGCAGATTACACTACTGCTTTTACATTGTTTCAATGTAAACTTGCATTAGAAGTACGTGTTTATAACGGTGTTCTAAATACATGGCGCTCAAGTTAAAAAGTTGCTCTAGACTTGCTTTTTTTATTCCACTATCAAGTTTAAATGACCTCAAGATGTAGAAAAACAGCACAGTGGAATGCAAAAAACACATTCTGTGTGAACCACCTCTACGTGGCTCTCTGGAATACTTGATTCTGACTGGATAATTGCACCATCCAGCAGTCAAGTGTTTGGCTGTCTTCGCTGAAAGTGTTACTACTTTCATGTCTTTGGCATATTTCGTATATAAGAAGGACTAATGGTGTATTGACTCGTTGTTTAAATTTTGTATTTCTTCTTCCAAAACATGTTTTTTTGTCTTACCCTGATTCACTAGGTTAAGCCTAGACAGAGCAGGATGGTTTTAGTTATTTAAGATATTTTATTAAACAGATAAATTGCCATATGTAGCTCTCTAACATAGTTCCTTGTAAAGCATTATCTATTGTGCAGGGTCATTTCATTATGGCTTTTGTAGCGCTGTGCTGGAATTTATTTTCAAGCACTGTGTCTATTAATGGGTAAAGCAACAGTAACGTCTTCAGCTAGTCAGCTTGAGATCCTTTCCATCTAAGCTGGTTATATCCCTTAAGCCTAGTAGCGAATGTGACCAGTAGGATATTCATCCCCACAGTACCGAAGCACAACCAAAACATTGTTCTTCCGCAAAATGCAAGCAGTTTTTTCTAACCTCTAGAAGGCCATAATCTGCATAGTGTACCTTTAAGTATTGGCATCTGACATGTTCCTCTAGTTGCTAGGTGAATTGTTAACTTTGCAATTATTTATTAACTGCAAAATTATTTATTAACGGCACATTTCATGTCAAAATAAAATATAAAATCATTTTATTAGTTCTGCTCCAGGCAAACTAAGTTAAAATGGTTCTTTCTTGAGCCCTGTACATTGATCTAAACACATCTATCTACACATCTAGCAAACAAACATGTGTCCAATCAATCATGTTGTGCTCTCGGAGTAACTACAAAGCTCAAATGTATTGAAGTGTGACTCAGCCAAGTTGCATAAGAAAAAGCAAGCCAATAACAAGGGCATTTCCTCTCCAACTCTGCTTTCTTCAGTCTTCAGTACAAATTCTACACCTCCAGCTTCTTTTTCATTTGGAGTTTGTAGAGGATTTGATAGCCATCATCCCAAGCATAGAGAAGCTGCTCCACAGGGCTGTATTTGAGGCTGGCATGAGTGCCGTATCGTTTGGGAAAGTATACATGTGGAGCGTCGTCATTTGTTACCATGTCACTCACATCAAACACGCACTGAATTCGGGAGCGACTGGGTAGTTTGGAGTTGTAGACCACATAGACAGTACCACAGATGACGAACGCTGCTTCTGCATTCTCCCTCACACAAGGGGTGTCCCACATCTGTTCAATGTCTAGAGTTTTAGGGTCTATCTTGGCCAAAGATATGTGCCTCTCATTCTCCTGTGTGGCGTAGATGGCCCACAGACCCTCTTCGTCCACTGCTAAGTCGATGAAGGTCTCGGGATTCAGGCTGTACACTGGGAGCTGGTTTTTAGCTGGAAACACCGCAGTGTCCGTGACTATGTTCTTCTGAAGATCAAACTTTATTAGTTTCATGTCCTCGCCCTGCTTCAAATAGTAAAGGTGGTTGTTGTAGATTGCATGGCCCATACCACTCCAGGCCGAAGGGAGCTGGACGCTGGTGGCCCCAGAAGTGCCTTGGGAGGAAGTAAATTCACGGACTGTACCAAACTCATACACTGTATTATCATCTGTCCCGTTTAAGATGTACACCTTCCCGGTGGCACTTCCCATGTCTTTGGTCCACATTCCCTTTGTGCCGCCCACTCGTTTGAGGATCTTCATGGCTTTGATGCTGGAGATCATGTCACTACAGTCTAAACGTATAAATGGAAAATCAAAATAATTTTCATTTTTGGATGAACTATCCCTTTAAATATTGTATTAACACCTCTTTGGCTTAGAAATTCTCCTTTCAGTAGTCTGTCATATCTTAATCGTCAAATATTCTGTGACATTTCCTTTGCAATCCGTCTTTTGCTGGAATTAGAATGTCAATATTTGCTTTCCACTAAAGCCTGATTTAACACTAAACCCTAATGGGAATGCACAGTACACTAATAACAGTCTGGGTTAATCAGATTTGTGGCGTTTTTGCTATGAAAAGGCAATATAGAGCTACTGAAGTGTAGAGGAAAGCATCATGATTTGTCCTCCAGCAGTATAATTACTGTCTCTCTCAATGATGGAATAATAATACATTTTATTTAGTACCGCTAAGTGTTTTTTTAAACGAGGACTTTAGGAAGAATAGACCCACTATTTAATACATTATGTATTAAACTCTGTCAAGTTGTGATAGCTCAGAGCTTGATGTGATTGAACCCTCTTCCCTGTCTTTCTTGTGCCACTTATCCTTCATTATAAGAGCTTCTTACAACTGAATCTATGAAGCTTAGCTGGCACTTTCCACAATTATTTTTAATATATTCCCTTTCTATGAAGTTTTTTTCAACCCTGCGAAAGTGTTGTTATTGTTAAGTAAAACTAAAAAACTTTGGTAACAGTACAGTACTTGCGTGTACTTACAGTGTACTTACCTAGAAAGTACTGGCTAATATTAGGTAAGTACATGGGTTAGGGGTAGGTTCAGGGTTAGTTATTACCCAGTAATTATAATTACTATAATAAGTACATAGTAAGTACATGGGTAACAGGACTGTAAAAGGAAGCGTTACCAAAACTTCTTTTTTTTTTTTTACTTAAGAGTTTAAAAAATTTGAAATGTTAACATGGCAACTAACTGAAATCCTACAAAAAAATTGAAGGATTAAAATGACTAAAACTAAAACTGAAATAAAAATAAATTAAAGCTAAATAGATTTTTTTTTATCTAAAAATGACAAGTGCACATAGCAAAATGTCTTAAACTTAAAGAAAATGCAACATTCATTTTGCATTGAAGATATTAAAATAAAATCTAATTCAAAATATTAAATAAATTCAATAGAATATAAACATACTAAAATAACACTTCCCTGTGACTAAAAATATTGTATATACGTTTAATTTATTTGATCATTTTTGTTCGTTTTTTTTTTTTTTTTTTTTTCAAAAGCACAAACTTTCAATAAACATCAAAAGTAGACAAAATACATAAATAAATAAAACAATGTCAGAATGGGTAACAGGGTTGAAGTGGTAAGCTAGTTTAGGACCAAATGTTATTTTGTAATTATTGATAAACTCATATTCATCATAAATTAAATACATGTTTAATAATTTCTTATTTCTTACAGGTTTGAGCTTGACGAATGCAGTTAACACTATAATTTGTGAAAAAAAATTGGAATATTTAGATTTTTTCTTGTCCAAATAATGTCATTTCCTGGGTGTCTAAATTTAAGAAATGTTAAAAACTTTGTGTAATAAGGGAGATAAGGGAGACGGTTTTTGTCTTTAAAACTATTTTTTAAAAACAATTAATCTTTTAGTTTAACGCTCCCAATTCAACAGACTGTGTCCTTATTTTGCCTTTTTTAATTTATAAATCACAACTTTAAGTGTTAATGATATTTTATTTTATGTTAGATAAAATCTGTAATAGTTCTCACAACAAAAACATGGCATTTGTGCCTCTAATGATTGAGAATGGAACCCCAGAGAACTGAATTTGTTGAATGAGCCAACTATAGCTCATGCCATCTTGCAGCAAGGCAAACATTACCCGTATCTAAGCATGTGGAATGTTACCTAAAGCTCTTTACCTGTAAGCTTGGCGTACTTGGCTTTGTTTCTCTCCTTGACAACTGTCACCTGCTGCTCCACCAGCTTGTCATCCACGTCCACGCAAGGCTGCGCGCCATTCTGTGTTTCGAGGTAGTCCATCTCTCTCTCCACGCGATCTACGCGTGTTCCCACTGTGTCCAACTCGCTCCGCAGTGCCTCCTTGCTCTTGTCCAGGCCCTCTAGCTGTGCCACCATCTGCTGCTTGAACTCGCGCAGCTCAGAGGCGTAGCGGCTGGTCTGCTCATGCCACAAGGAGATGCGATCCTGCCAATGAAGAAATAAACAAAAACAAGTCTCAAGAGCCCCAGTAAAAGAGATACGAGTTAGTCAGATGCAAACATATCTGTTAAAAGTGGCATCTTAAATAATATAAGATAAATTGAAGGCTAGCAATAGGCTCGTGGGATAGTAATTTTAAATAAATGTTCTTCTGGTTACCACAATGCTAGGGTGGTTGCCAGGGCGTTGCTATGAAGTTGCGAAGATGTTCTGGGAAGTTCCCAGGCCTTTGCTATTCGGTTGCTTGAAATAGTTATACAAAAAATATACAGTGGTGTGAATAAGTTATTACCCCCATGCTAAAGTTGCCTAAAAAGAGGAATAAAAAATCATCTTTTAGAAATTGATCTTAATGCCTTAATTAGAAAAATGAGGAAAAATCAAACCTTTAAGGACACCAATTTTCTTTGTGTATGAATAATGTATCATAAATAAATAAATGTTCTTCCTTAAAATACAGGGTGCATAAGTCAGGCCCCCCCTATGTTAAATTCCCATAGAGTCAGGCAGATTTGTATTTTTAAAGGCCAGTTATTTCATGGATCCAGGATAATATGCATCCTGATAAAGTTCCCTTGGCCTTTGGAATTAAAATATCCCACATCATCACATTCCCTTCACCATACCTAGAGATTGGCATGGTGTTATTTCAGTTAGCCTAATAGCTGGTTTGATTTGCATTGAAAGATGATCTTATGGAAAGTACCCCATGCCAATCTCTAGGTATGGTGAAGGGAATGTGATGATGTGGGTCTATTTTAATTCCAAAGGCCAAGGGAACTTTATCAGGATGCATATTATCCTGG